TTCTTTCTTTCTTTCTTCCGTCATTTTCTTTTTTTTTCTTTCCGTTCGTTTTTTATTAGTTCTTTCTTTCTCTCTCTCATTCATTCATTCATTCTTTATTTCTTTCTTTTTTTTCCATCATTTTCTATCTTTATTTCTTTCCGTTCGATTTTCTTATGAGTTCTTTCTTTCATTCCCTCTCGATTCTTTCTTTCTTTCTTTCTTTCCTTCTTTCTTTCTTTCTTTCTCCTATTATTTGTTCCTATCTTTACACCATTTTCCCTCTTTTTTGTTTCTTTTTTGTTTGTTTGTTTCTTTCCTTCTTTATTTCTTTCTTTTTTTCCGTCATTTTCTATCTTTCCGTTCGTTTTTCTTTCTTTCTTTCTTTCTTTCTTTCTTTCTTTCTGTTATTTCTTCCTCTTATTTGTTCCTATCTTTCCGCCATTGTCCCCTCTTTCTTTCTTTTTTCTTTTATTCTTTCTTTCTTTCTTTTTGTTCCTATCTTTCCATCATTTTCCCTCTTTGTTTGTTTGTTTGTTTGTTTCTTTCTTTCTTTCTTTCTTTCTTTCTTTCTTTTGTTCCGTTATTTTCCTATTATTTGCTACAATCTTGTTGTTTCCCCCACTTTCTTTCTTTCTTTTATCTTTCTATTCCATGTTGTTCGTTTTATTTTATTCCTCTTGCATCTTCCTTTTTTCTTCCTTCCAATCACCACAAGACGAAATTCTCTCACACTGTCAGACTTAGAAAAGCCAGCATAAAAGATCAGATAGCCTGGATAATAACTCCGAAAAGTCAGAACTAAACAAGCAAATGCATAAATATATGAATCAATAAATAAACAAGCCTGAAAAATACACGACATAATAAGGCTAAACGTAACTCCACATAGGAGTCCACAAAGAGGCTGACATGACACCCTGTCGCCATTGCGATCCGCAAAGGACCAGAGAACAAGAAGGTGTTGGTTGTCTGCCACGTCACATCCGTTCGTCCCAAGGGAAGCAGGTGTTACGGGCCCTGAACCTGGTCGCCATTCATGTCTGTCTGCTTTTACCGGTTTCGCTTACAATACCCGGCACTTCATAAGGGGGGAAAAAAAGAAAGGAAAAAAAATCTATTAAGGCGTATATAGATTCTACAAAGATGGCCGACCAAGATAAGCGAACACCTTATTCATCCCGTGTAATATTTTTACCCCACCGTTAGGTTTCCCAAATTACGCCCTCCATCAAAACACCCGTCTTTTGCTCTACTCCTTCCGACGCGAATATTTGTGGCATAATTAATTTTGCATGACACATGGACCGCGCCAACCGGATGACTTAGTTTTCGATTCGAGAGTCCTGTGGGGGTGAACGACATGGCGGTAGGTGGTGGGCGTGTGAGGTATAGAATAAGGAAGATAGTAAGATATAGGACGGGGTGGGGTATAGAAAGGCGGTGAAGAGGATAATTGTAATATTTGAAAGAGGTATTGATGGTTCGGATAAATAGATTTGAACAACGGAGAAACATTGAACATATGAAGTTATTAAATATTTTTAATGGCATTAGGCAACCAGGGTAACCGGGAACATTCTTCTATCTATCTATCTATCTATCTATCATTCATTCTATCTATCTCTATTCTTGCTCATATCATTCATCTATCTATCTATCTATCTAATATCTATTATTCATCTATCTTTATCATTCTGCTCCATATTCATTCATTCATTCTATCTCATTCATCTATTCTATCTCATCTATTCATTATTCATCTATCTGTCATTCTGCTCACATCTATCTATCTATTCATCTATCTATCTATCTATCTATCTATCTATCAGTCTGTCCATATCTATCTTACTCACTTCATATCTATTATTCTATGAATCTATCTATCTATCTATCTATCCTATCTATCTATCTATCTATCTATCTGTCTGTTTCAGTCTGTTTATATATATATATATCTATCTATTTCAGTCTGTTCATATCTATTCATCTATCTATCTATCTATCTATCTATCTATCTATCTATCTCTATCAGTCTGTCCATATCTGTCTTACTCTCTTCATATCTATCTATCTATCTATCTATCTATCTATCTATCTATCTGTCTGTATGTTTCAGTCTGTTTATATCTATCTATCTATCTATCTATTTCAGTCTGTTCATATCTATCTATCTATCTATCTATCTCAGTCTGTCCATATCTATCTTACTCTCTTCATTTCTATCATTCTATGAATCAATCAATATCTCTCTCTCAGTATATTAATATCTATCTATCTATCTATCTATCATTTATCTATCTATCTATCTATTCATCTATCTATCTATCCTATCTATTCATATCTATCATTCATATCTATCTATCTATCCTATCTATCTATCTATCTATCTGCATCAGTCTGTTCATATCTATCTATCTATGTATCTATCTATCCCAGTCTCTTCATATCTATCTATCTATCTATCTATCTATCTATCTATCTATCTATCTATGGTGATTTTCTAAGCCTAGCACAAAGCGGGGTGTATCGGGTACCCAATAAACATTCAGGGGGACAAGCTTGCTAACCATTACACCACATCGATTTTCTAAGCGTAGCTTAGATGTGATACAAGGATGAAAAGTATGGGGCACGCAGTGATGAACGAACTCACTATTCAGTCGTAATTAAGCTAGCCAGATAGGCTTGCTAACCCTTACAACCACGCCGAATACCAAAAGTTATATACTAGTGTAACTCTGTTGTGGCACTCAGTCGAAAGTATGATCAAAATTACAACCCAGTCGTGATTGATCTACGAGAAAATCTTGTTAACGATTACACCACGTCGAAGTACTCATATATATATATATATATATATATATATATATATATATATATATATATATATATATTATTTTTTTCTATTATTATAAAAAGAAAAGAACAGTAAGATATAAAATCCGGTGTTCTTACTGATATTTTTAATTTTTACAAAACAGTGCTCAAGATTGCTTCAAGCCAGGATCGAAACCCGACCGATTTGTTATCAGTCAAAGATTCTATCCTATCGTAGCAAGGGGGAAGTGAAATTTTAAAGTTTTCTGTGTGAAATACGTCATTGGCCCGGAGAGCTCCATTCAATTCCGCTGAAGAGCAATGCGTTAATAGCAGTAAGAGCCAATGTTTTTAAAATTATCCTTTTCTCAAGAGAGCTCAACCTGATTTCCCGGGAGATTATTATTATTCTATGTGCCATGTCCTTTCAGAACATGGATGTTCATGGCTCTCCTCAACTCCTTATCCTTTGCTGTTCTTAGTAATACTAACTTTTCGCTTCCGCTCCCAATTACTCGCCTGGCACTCTTTGAGAGAACCATTCATTAGGGCAGATGTTTTAGACTCAATAGACTCGAAAATAATTTGAAACATAACCGTTAATATAACCGTTATCGAATACCAAACAACCATCTATAAATATGATAAGTACAAGAAACCTTATTACCCATAATGCATCATTAACCCGGATGTATAAATAGTCGAGCCATAATTTCTACATATCTTGATCTGAACCCGATCTTGCCTCCCCGGCGTCAGTCACTTTCCCACCGCCGTAAGTTGGCCTTTCGGTGTCTTTTCTATAAATACTTCCATGTTAATTGTTCAGATCAGCTCTTTGTTATGGTACCTAGACTTTATGAATTTAAGCGCCCTACTAGATTGGCAACGAGATCTCATCGATATAGAGTTGAGTTGACTTGATGCAACCGTAAGTCCTTTGCTAACAGCTTCTTCTCTCGTGCTACTCACTTGTGGAACACTCTTCCACCTCCATGCTTTGCCGCCAACTTTGATCTTCAAAAATTAAAATGCAATGTCAATCTTTATCTACTGTATTCCTGATTACTCTTCTATTGTTCTCGCTCACTGTTCGATTGTGGAACACTCTTCCACCTCCATGCTTTGCCGCCAATTTTGATCTTCAAAAATTTAAATGCAATATCAATCGTTATCTACTGTGATTACTGATTACTCTTTAATTGTTCCCAATCATTTCGCACTTGTGGAATACTCTTCCAGTACCATGCTTTACAGCCAACTTTGATCTTCAAAAATTGAACTGCTATGTCAATTGATATCTAGTGATTACTCTTCTATTGTTCTCGCTCTTCAATAATACATCTGTGTTCTAATTCTCTCACACCCAGTAACCTCCTTGCGTCTTAGTGGCTTTACTCCCTTACTTGAGGTGAATTCGTTTAAGAAAAGGAAGTTCTTCAATCTAGTATTAATTTAAGAGATTAAATTGACTGGTCCTTTGTAAAAAAAAAAAAAAATAGCGAAAAATTGGGAGGAGGAGAATTTTGTCGATTAATATTCATCTGTCAGAATACAAACAAAACATTGATTTTTAAAATAATTTTGTCCATAACACAGACTTCATAAAGAGTTATTTGTAATTTTTTCTTATTTACAAATGTCAAGTTGTAAACTGGCGTTACGTCATTGATCACTGCGAAATACGTACCGATGATAGCCTTTTAAACAAAACGCATTTATCAGTGACGTAAGCAAAGTTTCAAACATTAAATTTCTAAATAAAGACAAATGACAGGTAATTATTTCAAAAGTTCCGGATCGATTGGTGTTCTTTCATGCTTAACATGTTTTGCATACGCAGAACTGGTAGAAGCCATCCTTCTCCGTTTACGACAAGAGTTGATGATCTCTGATTTGAAGATTCTCCTTGGTCAAGGACACGTGGCCGTAGATTCCATCCGTGAAAAAAATTCAGCCCTTGACTTCTCTGTAGAAAGCGCCTCCCTCAAGCGATGCACATATAACGATAGAATCCAATCTGCCCCATTTGTGATTGAAGGCACCCAGAATGTCCGTCCCAATTTTGACAGGTCTTGATTTAATTATGATGAATGTCTACTCATCGTTATCACCACGGACGCCTAGTGGCAAAAGCTGTTGTGTCACTAATAATGTTTCATATGTTTGCCATTAAAAGAGAACATAAAAATAAATAAGTCATGGATTTTTCTTTCTTTCTTTCTATCGTTTTTTCTTTCTTTCTTTCTTTCTTTCTTTCTTTCTTTCGTTCTTTCTTTCGTTCCCGCTTTCTTTCTTTCTTTTTTCTATTTTTTCTTTCTTTCTTTCTTTCTTTCTTTCTTTCTTTCTTTGGTTCCCACTTTCTTTCTTTCTTTTTTCTATTTTTTCTTTCTTTCCTTCTTTCTTTCTTTGGTTCCCGCTTTCTTTCTTTCTTTCTTTTTTCTTTTTTTTCTTTCTTTCTTTCTTTCTTTCTTTCTTTCTTTCTTTCTTTCTTTCTTTCTGTTCATATCTATCTATCTATCTATCTATCTATCTATCTGTCTATCTATCTATCTATCTATCTATCTATCTATCTATCTATCTATCCCAGTCTGTTCATGTCTATAATCTATCCAATTCACTATGTTTTTATAAATAAGTTTGTTTATTTCTCTCTTTCTTTCTCTCTCTCTCTCTCTATCTATCTATCTATCTATCTATCTATCTATCTATCTATCTATTTATTTATCTATGTATCGTTGTTCATGTCTGTTAATCTATCCAACTCACTGTATTTATATAGATCAGTTTGTACATCTATCTATCTATCTATCTATCTATCTGTCTATTATAATAATAATAACATATTGGAGGAAAATTCAAATGTTTATTGTAGTGTTGTGTTGTGTGTGTGTGTGTGTGTGTGTGTGTGTGTGTGTGTGTGTGTGTGTGTGTGTGTGTGCAGATAGAAGAATGGAAAGAACACGTTAAGTAAATGATCCGGAGTTCTTTTTATTTTTTGATTTTATTTTTAAAAACAGTACTCCATACAAGTAGAGCTTAAATTATAATTATTTTTTTATTTTTATAAAATATGATTCCTTCGTTACATAAGAGTTCTCATGTTTCAAAAACGAGTTATCTGAAAACCTCAATATAATTATTAAAATTAAATTGAATTAAAGTATCAAGCCATGTTTTTGATCCTCAAGTTTGAAAATTTAGGAATTCCTTTTTTTTCCTAAATTTCGTTTGAGGTTGAAGCTATCTCGTTTTTGAAACATGAGAAAACATATGTATGAAAGAATCATATTTTTAAAAATAATTATATATATATATATATATATATATATATATATATATATATATATATATAAATGGACAAAGTCCGACAATTTATTTATTAAAGACATTTTTATATTTAACGTTCTTTTTATAGATATAAGTATTTAAGTAAATGGCTTACTTAAATACTTGTATCTATAAAGAACGTTAAACATAAAATGTAATTTATATATATATATATATATATATATATATATATATATATATATATATATATATATATATATACGTTGTCATTTTTCATTGTCAAGCTTCATTCCTATAGTTTACTGCTAAAACAAGCAAGATTTCTTTTCTCTTGATCTGTTTCATTTTAGCTTGAAAATGAAACAGAACTAGTGCTTTTAATTTAATGATATAATTGAATTTGAAGTTTTAGTTTGACTTTTTGAAACATGGTAATTCCTGTGTAGTGAATGGACCATATTTTTAAATCATTTAATGTATAATATTTATGCTCTGTTAATTTACATTGAGCACTGTTTTGTAAAAATAAAAATATCATCATATAACACCAGATTATATTATCTGTTCTTACTTTTTTTTCATTATAATACACACACATATATATATATATATATATATGCATAAAGATTTATACATCATTACCTATGTATATATGTAATTATTTTATATATTTTCAATTTCAAAGGTTATTTTTTAGAATGGTACACGTGTTTGCATTGATATACCTGATATTTATTTTGTTGAAAAGTGAAAGTATTATCAATCAGTCTAAAATCGAGACATCTTACTAATGAAAGATGTGTCTCATAGGACATAGTAAATTCACCCAAGTATTCGTTCTCATAGATATACAGGCTCTATGAGAATCAACATCAACAGTTGTCCATGAGAGTCTCCAAACAAAAACGAAGGCTTTGGAAAGAAAATGATGGTGGATATGTAGCTTACCGCAAACAAAGGTTTCGTTTTTGGAGGACGAGAAGTTTTTTTCTCTGTGTAGGCCGTGGCCAACTACCAAAACAATAGGCTTCATGATCCTTCCGCAGGAAACAATTCCCAAGGTTGCAGAACACCATTTCAAGCGGCAGAAATCAACTGCTGTCAACGTTTTGGCTGCTATTGTTGCCAATGTTTGGAAATCGCTTGTGTTGTTCACTGATGAAGCACTGATAGCAGAACTTATTAGCAAATGGAGAAATATGCGTTGCTCTGGTGGTCAGTTACATATGGAAGTCGTCATGTTTTCCAATTTGACACAGAACTGATGCAAGAAACAATGCTTTGCAATTTTTGACAAGAGATTTTATCTTCCATCAAGCCCAGACAGAAGAGGAAAGTTTCCTGTATATTTAACTCAAGTGTGTCCGACTTCAAAAGAAATCTTGTGATGTCGTTGTATAATTTGAGCGA